CGGCGTGGCCACAGACGACAACGACCGCGACAACGACAGCGGCGATGACGGAGCGAGAGAAAGCGAGAAAAACGACACGGGCAGCCGGAAGAGAGACAGGGGAGCGGAGGGAGAGGAGGGGCCATCGAACATTTGCCAGCAATGCTGCTTGGCGGACGCTGCGTTGCGAGCTGCGCAACTTGCTCATCAATCCGCATAGCGTTTGCGGGGCCGCCTGGTCACGCGAACGCCCTCAGGTGTCCACTCCAGCAGCTCGGTGGACCAGCGCCCGTATTCGCGTTGCTGGACTCAGTTTTTGCAGCTGGCGTGTTCTGCCCCGTCGTTGGTTTCCCCAGCTGCGGTATCCGGCTCGCTGGACAAGCCCTCCGGCCCGCCCGCTGGCGCTCGTAACCCAATCCACCCAGCTTTCTTGCTCTACGCTCATATCGGCAAGTTCGATATTTCTCCTCGGCGTCTGAACGATGCGCCGCAGCATTTTCCTCTCCTGGCCCCACACGGGGAAACAAGCGGTGGGCCACGAGAGCCGGAAACCTCGGCGGGCATCCGAGGCGCTTTAAGTAACGTGGCCCGAGGGGAAATGACGACTTATCGGGCCTCCTGGGGCACCAAGCTCGAAAGAACAGATGAGCCGTAACGCGGATTCGCAAAAAGGCACGGCCAGGCCTTCAGAGACCAAATGAGGGGCAACCGACAGGGATCCATGGCAGACCCGAGGGCCCTTGGGGCCGTTGCACAAGAACCCTCGGGCCCTATCGTGCAGGGCGCTGAGGTGTGCCTGGAACAAGGAATTGGCTGGGTATCGAGCTCGGGGCCCAGCAAAATTCCCATCTTCTCCCACGTCAACCGGCTTCGCGCTCGACCACCAACGCACGGGGGCACTGACGTCGGGCTCACCAAACGCCTCGACAGCAAAATCGCGCCCCATGGACACAGAGGCCTGTTTGGATGGGGCGACGCCAAAACTTGAATGAGCACGGCTGTTCAAAGAGAGCGCCGGGATCCCCTGAAGCAAACCTCCAGGAGGAGGAGGAGGAGGAGGAGGATGGAGGACGGCCCGGTGAAGAGGCCCAGGGGGGGAGGTTTGGGTCGGGGCCCCGATGGGGCCTCCAGTCCACCGTCCAGGAAGACGGAGTCACATTACTCTTGAGAGGTAGCGTCCTCCCTGCTGGGCTGCCCCCCAGCGGGCGCGGCAGCAGTGTGGGGGGGGGGGGCATTAGTAAAATCCGAGGCACGCTCAGCAGCAGAGAGCGGGGCCTCAGGTGGTGACCGCGTAGACCCCGTATCCCCGACGACGCTGCAGGATAGGCCGACGCTTCACCAGGTTTCTTGTCGTCATCGATCGGGGGATTGGCGGACCCGTCGGCAGCAGACGCGTCAACAGCAGGAGGCTCACCAGGTGGAGCATCGCCTTCGCGAACACGTCAGAGACAGGTTGACAGAACATTCACGAACCTGTTCTTGTTGGGCAGAGATGTCCTGAAACATACGTTCATATACAGAGCAAGCCTTGTTTCACAGCGGCCTCTGCATGCGCGAAGCTCCTGAAAAAGGTACGATTGACTTGCTGGCTGAATGGAATGTCGGTTTCCAGCGCCTCCTTGCGAGCAGCGAACGCACCTTTCTGCCTGAAAGCGCCATCGGTGCCCCCGCACTTTTCGAGGAGGGCGATGAGCTGTTCCAACTCTGCGATGGACGGTTCTCCCGTCTGAACTGTCGGCGAGCTCAGAGGAGGTGATGCCTGGCCCATGAACTGTGGACCACAACGTAAACGAAGTTGGTTGCCATGACCTCGTTGGCCCCAGACCCCTCCTCGGGCAGGAGGGGAAGAAACTTCAGGAAATTGTGGACGTGGAGCCTTACACTGCTTGCAAAACCACAGCTGTCTTGATCTTTCTTGCACCGACACCAGGGTGGTCCACGTTGATACCATTGCCACTGGGGCGGCCAGCCAGACCGTCCAGAGCCTCCAGGACCAGCTCGCGTTGCCCGCGGGCCACCCAACGCCGCCAGCAGGAACAGCTGGAGGAGCAGTCGGCATTGGCACCATGGTCTGGAATGCGAAGTGATACCTTACTTTCACCGCCAGAGGCGGCGCTCAAACGAACACAAAAATGGTCCAGCACAAGGTGAGACTGACCGGGAGGGGCCTGAGCCAGAATGCGCTTGAGCATTTTGTCGGAGGGGGGGGAGGAGGAGGAGGAGGAGGAGGAGGAGGAGGAGGAGGAGAGAGGAGGAGGAGGAGGAGGGAGGGAGGAGGAGGAGGAGGAGGAGGAGGAGGAGGAGGAGGAGGAGGAGGAGGAGGAGGAGCAGGAGGAGTAGGAGGAGCAGGAGAAGCAGGAGGAGGAGAGGGACGAAGAGGGACGAAGAGGGACGAAGAGGGACAAAGCGAGGGAGGAGGCACGTTTTGACGGAGAAGGAGGAGGAGGAGGAGGAGGAAGAGCAGAGGGACGAAGAAAAGGAGGAGACACATTTGTCGGAGGAGGAGGAAGAGGAGAGGGACGAAGAGAGGGAGGAGGCACATTTGTCGGAGGAGGAGGAGGAAGAAGAGGAGACGGACGAAGAGAGGGAGGAGGCGCATTTTGTCGGAGGACGAGGAAAAGGAAGAGGAGAGGGACGAAGAGAAGGAGGAAGCACAGCGTTGCATACCGACTCTGTCTCGGGTATCCATGAAGAGGCTCCGATTTGCTGCTGATCACCATCCTGCCGAGAGCCGATGAGGAGGAGAAGGGCCGACGAAGAGGAGCAAAAACGTGTGGGAGTTGGCGTTGAAGCGAGCAGCTCATGGGTAGCCCATCTTCCCTCCTCAAGGCCCTCGAAGATCGACTGGGAATTGGGGAAACCTAAAAATACCGATACAGCTACTTCCCGGACCTCTCCTGGGGTGCGGTGCGTTCTGACCAGAATTTCGAGGCGAATCCGGCGGTGACGGTGACGGTGACGACGAGAGCCTCCCAGGAGGCCGAAGAAGGGGAAAACGATGGCAAATAGGTAGAGGTATGGGTACCTTTCCCTCCTCGTAGGAGCGTGCCCCAGAGTGCACTGCAGCAAGATTCGGGATCGCATGCGTCTGCTGTGTACAAATGCCCTCCGGGCCAGGCCAAGGCCAGTGAGCGCCCATGCAGACACACACACACACACACGCGCACACACACACAGACACACACACACACACACACACACACGCACGCCTGCCCGCCCGCCCGCCCGCCCGCCCGCGAGCCAATGGGCGCACGGCTTCTGAGCTTGGCTCACAGCCGGCAGGCCGAAACCTCCTTTCTCCCCTCCTCCTCCTCCTCCTCCTCCGCGTCTTCCTCCTCCTCCTCCGCGAATTCCTCCTCGTCCTCTTCCGCGCATTCCTCCTCCTCCTCATCCTCCTCCGCGTATTTATCCTCCTCCGCGTCTTCCTCCTCCGCCTCATCCTCCTCCTCTTCCTCCTCCTCCTCCTCCTCCTCCTCCTCCTCCTCCTCCTCCTCCGCCGCGTCTTCCTCCTCCTCATCCTCCTCCTCTTCCTCCGCGTCCTCCTCCTCCTCCTCATCCTTCTCCTCCTCCTCTTCCCTTCCTCCTCCTCCGCCTCCTCCTCCTCCTGCTCCTCCTCCCCCTCCTCCCCCTGGTGACGCGGAAGACCCTGGGCCTCGCAGGGGTCGCGGAAGACCCTGGGCCCCTACCCCTGGTGACGCGGAAGACGAGGAGGCACTACTGGGAGGTCTTCGTCGGAAGGATATTTTGGTAAGCCCCATCGGAGGGCTGCTGCTCCGGATCGTGCAGGATTGAGCGGGATGAAGCCGGACTGGGCGGGACTTCGGACCAGGGCAACGTCTCATGGCAACGGCCTTGCAGACGTGCTGCAGCGGATCTCTGCGTGGATGTTTGCCCGAAGCGGCGAGCGAAAAACGCAGTGGATTTCGCGTGGATTACTTTTGGTTTTCGTTTCTGGCAATCCGCACGAAGTTCACCTCGAAATCTGGAACAAAATTCTCCAGGACACTGCGGGCCCATCCTATCGTTTTGCAAAGGAAATCCGCTCTGCGATGTTGGCACCATGAAGAATGTCCTGGATCCACCGCGCGGGGGGGGGGGACGATCCATGACATGTGAAGGAAGACGCGTGCTTCTTGTCGGGCGTTTGCGAGCATGCACTTTGCGAGCAGTGGAACGCGCTCGGTGAGCCCGGAGGCCTGCAGGGCAGGGCGCACGCCTTCTTCCCTCGGTGGAGGCACACCGCCGAAACTGGTGCTAAGAACCCAGGCCCCTTCCACACCCGAGGGAGCGGGCCAGGCCTGGCTCCTCCTCCTCCTCCTCCTCCTCCTCCTCCTCCTCCTCCTCCTCCTCCTCCTCCTCCAGAACTTGACCCTCCCGGGAGTTGCACCCGAGCTCGCAGGGCGGGCGGGCGAAGAACTGGTCGCCCCGCCCCTCGGCGCGCCCGGGCGCTCCGCTCCCGCGGGCGCGGGTGCCCTCTGTGGCTGCAGGGGGTGCGCGCCCAAGGCCTGCGAGCATCGTGTCCGACCCTCGGGTCGGGCGAACGGGGGGGATAGCAAAGGGGGGGTTGAGAATCAGCTCACGTAGCTGAACTTCCCGGCGCCTCCCAGCGCCGGGGGCGGCTATGTATCGAGGAATGGCCCCCTCGGTGAGGCCGAAACCAGCTGCATGCAGCAAATTTCGTAACCCCCCCTTTCCCAATCCCCCCCTTTCGCCCGGCCCGAGACCCCCATCCCCAGCGGCGTGGCCTGGGCCCCACTGGCCGGTTTACCCCGCGAGATGGTCTCAGAGCAGTAGTGGTGCAGCCGAGGCGGGCCATGGCAGCACATGGTCCGAAGTGGCCCTCGAGGAGAGGGGGGGAGGAAGACGAGGGAGATTGAATATCGTGTAACAGATCCCCAGCCGCAGCGGCGTGGCCTGGGCCCCACCCCCACTGGCCGGTTTACCCCCTAGATGGGTGTATAGGCCGTTCCCTTCGGGTTTCGAGGGGTGCATCCCCAGCTGGGGTGGTAATTTGGTGGGAGTCTCGAAGGAGATGAGGATAGGGATGGGGGTCGGTTAAACGATCCTGAGCTTGGAAAGTCACGCTGCTGCACGCGCGGTGGGCAGCGTTCTCGCTGCCCCCGGAGAGTGGAAGGCGCCCGCAACGGAGGCCTGTGAACTGTTGGTATTCTGCACGCTCCGCTTTAGGGCGAGGTGGTGTGATTCGGTACTGTGTGTGGCTTGAGAGCAAGGGCCTCGTGCAGTGTGCATTCGACTCCTTTCAGGCATTCGCGAACCTCGCTGATCACACGGTCGCGCGCCTCGCTGATCAGCCTGACCACACCCAGGGGCGAAGCGTCGCTCTTCATCCGCGCCGTGCCTTCGATGAGCTCCTGCGCGGTGAGGCGCTCACGTCCGTGGGTCAGCTCGTCGAACAGTCTGAGCGGATCCGGGAAGTCTTGAGCTTTCAGCCAGACCTTCACCCAGTCGTCCTCTTCGGTGGCAGATCCTGGGAGCCTCCCATATCATCTCGTCGGATCTTACGACGCTAGTCGACGCTAATCGACGCCAAATCGACGCTAGTCGACGCTGACCGACGCCAAATCGGCGTTGTCGTATCGACTCCCAGACGCTAATCGACGCTAACGACGGAATTGAGGGGGTATACCAGGCTCCCATGACTTGCTACCGAGAAGCATTCACCCAGTCGTCCTCGCATAACTCCAGCCATTCGTCGCGATCAATCGCGCAGTCTCTGTTCGTGTCTGCCGTGGCGAAGAGGCTCTTCATCTTCGCGATGTGGGCCGTCTGTTTTCTGGTCGTCTGCCTCACCTGGGACGCAGAAGGACATACTAGTACTATGTGTCCTCCCTGCAGGCGTGCGTCCGACCCGAACCATACAGTGCAAACAACTTCTAGTAGATCGTTTCCAGAACGGGATGGCCACAAAGCGCCCGCCAGAGAGCTTATACAATACGATGTTTCGGCGCGCGCGTCGCGCCCGGTGGGGACGACGCACACATAGCATTAGTGTGTTGGGAGCGACGCCGATCACCATTATCGCGTCGTCCATCGCAGCCACCTTGAATGTCTCTTGGATGAATATCCCGTTGACTACTCCTATGATGGCAAATCCGAGCACCATCTTGTGCAAGATCGAATAGATGAAGAGCGACTCGTGCACCTGGTCCATCAACACTCGCGCTGGGACTATCCAATTTGCAAGGGTAAACTCAAACATTGTGAGAAGTGACCGGGTAAAACTCCCGAAATATTCAAACACCTCGGCTTGTTCCTCGGCCTTGCCTTCGTCGAAATACCAAATATGAAGGGCCTGGTTGACAGCCAGCGCTAAGATCATGTGCAAGATCAACAACAAAGTGAAAGACCATGCTAGCACCGCCACAGCCCCTTGGAGCGACGTAACCATGACGTACAACGAATCGAACCGAGAGCTGTTCAAATACCGGACAAGCCGAACAAGGCGCCCTAGCCGTGATAGGCGAGCGAGACGCAGCATCTGCACATTCACGCTCGGGCCAATCTCAAAACGGCTCGCCGTCCAGAGCGCCACAACCAAAAGATCTAAACAATTCCAGTAGTCTCGGAGAAATTGCAAACGCTCCGCTGCAATCCTGATGATAATCTCGACCAGGAAGAATACTCCGAATATCCACTCACATGCCAAGAATACCGCTGCACCGTGCGGCCACACCTCGGAGGAGGCACGGCCTGCAGCGTCGTGGCCGGTCCACACGGCCAGATTGAAGCCCTGGTACTGCGCCTCGGCAGCCATGACTGCTCCGTTCAGGACGATCACGCTGGCAACGAGGACCTCGAACCCCGGGTGCTGAATCAGCCTGGTCAGCGCGCTGCGTGTCCTCAGCGACTCCACGACATGCCTCTGGTATTTCACGCTGTGCACGAGACTGTCGGCCCACGTTACCTGCCTCTTCACATTCGCGGAGAGCGGCGCCGACGCCCTCCTCGTCTGGCCTCCCCTCATGGCGCCTTCCTGCTGGGCCGGCTTCCCCCCGCCCTCGTGGCCTCTCTGCGGGCCGGGCCGGCCCGAGGGTGACTCCGACAGGCCCGCCGACGCCCTGTCGGCCACGTGGGACGGAGCGTCTGTGGAGGCTTCCTTCTGGCCAGGGAAAGGCTCTTCGATGACCATGTACACCAATTCTGGATCAACGGGCAGGTCTGCTCGCTTGGCGAGCGCGTCGACACGTGCGTTCCTATCCCTGCTTGCGGCCGCCAGCCTCTTGCGCAAGCTCTGAACTTCGCACTGAAGGCATCTGATCTCAAGCTGGTGTGCCTGCCTCGTCCGCATCATCAAGCCATCGAAATTGTCATCGTTCTTCAAATCAACTTCTTCTTCGTCACTGCGCTGAAAAAGCGTTTCAATCTCAAACGGAAGCCCTCGAATGCCGCCAATCGCGAATCCTCCAATGCCGCTCGATTCATCCATTCCCAGAGGTAAACGCGGAATAACGTCTTCGGACGGCTGACGCAAAATGCTGAACTTGAGACGAGGCAACCCTGAACAAGCAGCGCTGGGGAATCTGTGTTGGGCAATCCTGACCACAGAAGGGCGTCACCACAGGGCACCACGCAACTCGCGCACGGCATGGCACAGCTCACCTGCAGAACCCTGCACCCATGAAACCAAATCGTGGCCCTAGAACCCAACAGAGCACCACACGGCATCATGTGGTACTAGGGGAACAAAAAGTGACATAAACATAAAAACTCCGAGGTCCGCGCTGACTCTGGACCCCCCTCCCTGGCGCGCGGAGCGCGCCAGGGGCGGCGCCGGAGGCGCCGCCGGGGGGCCCCAGCGCCGATCCAAGAAATCCGCGCGGACCTCCGAGTTGTTATGTTTATGCCACTTCTTGTTCCCCTGATCATGTGGTACAGCTCGGCACAGCACCACCGCTCGGCACCTGAGCGGAAAGAAGAGAAGGGTCCGACGCGAGATGGCATAGTCGGCGGTGGACAGACCTCCCTTTCGCTAACCTCCCCTCAGCGAAAACGGCCTGGGACCGAAACCCACGGACCTGGACCCGCAAACATGACGGCCACGACGCCCTCCCGCGAACCGAAAACGGCCAATTCCTGAATCGACGTGTCAGGGTAGGAGGGCTATCCACCTCCGAAACTCTGTGAACCCGCGCGCGAGCTACACCTGAGGGGAAACCCGGAGCACCCTGAACGCAGCAGCTCCTTCCGCGGCTGCGGGAAGTCACGGCGCAGCGCGAGGAGCGAAGAAATCCAGTACACCCTGACGAAGAGCATAGGGTTTTTTGATGCGCGCCCCCACTGTAGGGGATCGACTGCAGAAATGGTTTCCCCCCAAACCGAATTGTTCGCCGGATCGGCGAGGAGACGTAGACTGCTCCGTAGATCTACGGACAGTCCACGCACTTGTTTCGTAAATTCTGCGCGAAAGTGAGCGTTGTTTGTATTCGGCGTTTCGGCATTGGGCGGAAGGGGGGGGGGAGGGGAAGGGGATCCGGCTTCGGACCTCTGCTTAGTGCGACTGTTAGCAAACAGTGCGTCCTACGGGGGAGACTCCACCTGCTCGAATTAGGCACCCAAAACCGCCAAGATCTACTACAGGGGGGGGGAAGGGGGGGTGCGAGGGCCCGCGCCGATCGGCAAAACATTGAATAAGAAAACGATCACATACATAATTGGTTTACCCCCAAAACTGACTTGTTCGCCAAATCGACGAAGATACGTAGATTGCTTCGTGCATCTACGAATAGACCCCGCACTTGTTTCGCAAATCCGGCGCGAAAAGCAAGTTTTGGGTTCGGTCGAGCATGTCCTCCGAATTACAATGGGATCTGGGACGAAACAGCTGTGCAACAAATCGTCAAACATAGTCAAAAAGTGATCGAAAACCCGTCCCCAGAGGTTTTTTGATACTCCTCCTGTACAGGGACACGACCGACTTGAGGGCAATCAGTCCTGCAGTCGCCCCCCTCCTCGCCTGGGGGCGCCCGCGGGGGAGCGGGGGCCCGCCTGTCGAGAGGGCCTGCTGTGCTGGGACGCTGCGCCGAGCGGGCCGGCGACCTCGCGAGGGGGGCCACACAAGCTCGCGCGTGCACCACCTCGGGGTGGCGACGTGAGGGGCGAGGAGCCCAGGGGCTTGGGACAGGAGGCGGAGCAGGAGGAGGAGGAGGGGAGGAGGAGGAGGAGGAGAGAGGAGGAGGAGGGAGGAGGAGGAGGAGGAGGAGGAGGAGGAGGAGGAGGAGGAGGAGGAGGAGGAGGAGGAGAGGAGGGGAGGAGGAGGAGAGGAGGAGAGGAGGGAGGGAGGAGGAGGAAGGAGGGAGGAGGAAGGAGGGAGGAGGGAGGAGGAGGGAGGAGGAAGGGCAGGGCAGCGGCGCCTGCGCCGCTCCTCGCGTGGCTCCCCCCCCCGAGGAGCCGGAAGCGCAGTCGCCCGGGAACACCGCTGCAGGCACGGGTTATGTCGGGCGTGTCCCCCTACAGAAGGATTTTCGGCGAAAAATGAAGAAACACCCTCAAAATGATCAAAAAATTAATCCAAAAATAGTCTCGGGACTATTTTTTAAGTATCTTTTGACCTGTTTGGGGGCATTTGTGGTGTATTTGCTATTTTCGTCGTCGAAAATCCCCCTGTAGGGGGGACACGCCCGACTCAAGACACGGGCCATCCGCGCCCCTCGATGCAGGGTATCGGCGGCGCGAGCGAGGGCGGGGGAAGTGAGAGAAGGAGAAGTCCTTCTCAGCAGAAGGAAGCGGGACTTCTCGGAAGCCCCCAGCGCCTCCTGAGAAGAGTTGGGCGCCCGAACTATCCGGGGTAACTCGGGTCCGGGGTGTTTCGGGTTTGGGTTCCCGAAAAGCCAGCCCGGGTTAGCCCTGACCCGAGATACCCCTGATGATTTGGGGCTCTGGACGCCCGAATTATCCGGGGTAACTCGGGTCCGGGGTAAGTCGGGTTCGGAATCCCGAAAAACGAACCCGAGTAAGCCCTGACCCGAGTTACCCCTGATGATTCGGGGCTCTGACAGAGTGTTCTGTGTCCCTAGGGAAGGCCAGATTTTTGTTCTGAGAAGGCCCGTGCCTTTTCGCTTCCATCCCTCGCTCGCCGCCGCGCTTGGTTTTCGGGTCATAACTCGGGTCGCCGGCGGCCGTTCGGGACGATCCAGGCACCCCTGGAACTCTCTCGGCCAGGCGCATTTGTTGGAACGCATCCCGAGGCCAGGAAACCGCCGAGAACCAACGAAAACGCCAGAAACGCGTAAACCTCGAACGCGAAACTCCCAAACCTTCCCCCCTGGGGCTCGCCGCCGAGTCTGGGGCTCATTTCCCCCCCTCGCCCGCCGCAGAATGTACTGCCATCGCCTTGGTTATTCGCCCCATACCGTCGCCTCCGACCACCGCGCGGCACTGGCTGCCCCTCTCCATGCGTGGGTGGCGCAGTGGAACCACCTGCGCCCCCCAAGCCCCAGGGAGAGGGCGCGCCCCGAATTCCCGACTCGCTAACCAGACTCGAACCTATCCCCATCCCTAGGACCAACGTCCCCAATAGGCGATGACAATCTCCGAGATGCGCCTCAGAAACCGAGGGCATCTTTAAGATTGGCATCGAGATCGGGCGGTGCCAATCATAGGTATAGGGATGTGCTCCAGGCGGGTAACTCAAGGGAAGGGAACTTGCACCAAACACCTTGAGCAACAACAATAACAACAACAACAACAACAGCAGCAACAACAACAACAACAACAACAACAACAAGAAGAGTCAAAACACTTACACTCATGCGCGATCTTTCCATACGCTGCATGCGACCATCATGAGAACCATCCCATCAAGGGTGACTGTTGTTCTTTAGCGGGGGTCCGCGATTCCCATCCCCAGATTTCCCGCCCAATGAGGTCTTGCAAACACCTCCCCCGAGGAACTTCAACACATCCCGCCTCGAAAACACATGCCCGCGCCCTCGCCAGTGGAGCCCCAGCCAAGGGCAAAGCACAAGGAAGTATCGAGCGACAGGATTGGCTTGGTGGGGATAGGGGCTGTCGGCGGCGAAGCAAGGACCTGGCCTTGAATCCGCCGACCCCGCAAGCGCCTGAGGAAAAGTGCGGGCTAGAGCCACCAACATTGCGCCAACCGTACGATTGTTCGCCCAAGCCCGGCCGATACCCCCCTCCTAGCCCCTGCGTCCCCACCCCTATCAAACCTCTGTTCCTGGGACCTCCCGCCACACAACACCTCGCCCAAAACCCGACCGATGCCCGCCTCCTCGTCCCGGCATCCCCACCCCACGGAATCTCTGTTCTTGGGGCCACCAACCACACAAGTTCCCGCCCAAGACCGACCGATACCCCCCTCCTCGCCCCGGCATCCCCACCCCATGGAACCTCTGTTCTTAGGATTTCCCCACTACACAATTTCTCGCCCAAAACCGACCGAACCGACCGATACCCCCCGCCTGGCTCTAGCATCCCCGCCCCAGGGAACCTCTGTTTTGAGGCCCCTGACCACGCAATTTCTCGCCCTAAACCGACCGATACCCCCCTCCTCGCCCCGGCATCCCCACCCCACGGAACCTCTGTTCTTGTGGCCCCCAGCCACACAATTTCTCGCCCCAAACCGACCGATGTCCCCCTCCTCGCCCCGGAGGATCCGCAAGTGTTAGCTTAAGGATTGAAATCTCGTGTAACATGTCAAGTGTTAGCCTAAGACTTGAGATGTTATCCTATGAGCTGTAATGTACGCATAACGTACAATAAGGCATAACATTCGAATGTTTCACGTGAACGAACGCGGTTTTGACTCGAGCGGGTCGCGTCCCGCTCTTCCGTCCGCAACGCGCTGACAACGCGGCCACACCGCGAAGGCACTTACACATTGTGCGTCGCATCTCGAGCCAAAATGGCAACGGAGGAGGAGGGCGGAGAGGGTTGAGGAAGGGAAGGATGAGAAGGAGGAGGAGGAGGAGGAGGAGGGAAGAGGAGGAGAGGGAGAAGGAGGAAGAGGAGAAGGAGGACGGAGGGGATGGGGAGGAGAACATCCCCTGTCGGGCCGAGCGCGCGCCGAGCTCGCCAGGTCCATCCTGTCGGGCAGAGCTCCCGTCGGGCAGAGAGCCTCCTCCTGTCTGTCTCCGTCTGTCTCTTCCGTCTGTCTCCTCGTCTGTGTCCTCCGCCTCCTCCTCCTCGGAGTTGTCGGCATCGGTCTCGAGGTCGTCGTCACTGTCGTCCTCGTCGCTGTCGGTTGCCGCGTCGCTCGGGATCCAAGGCGTGCTGGGCCTCTCTCTCCCTCTTCCGTGTCACCCCTGTTCCTCTTCCCTCCCTCGTCTCCCTCTTCGGTTTGCTCTTCCTCTTGCTCTTCCCTCCCTCCCTCCCTCCTCCCCTCCTCTTCCTCTTCCTCATCCTCCTCATCCTCCTGTCCCCGTTCTCCTTCCACCCAGGCCTGTACAAGCACAGCGTCCTGCCTGTGATGTCCACCCTCGAGGTTTCAACGGCGCCCATGCAAGCAAACCTCACGCGCTGCCCGCGGGAAAGGCTGGTG